CAATATACGTTGTTAAGAATATTCTGATAAAATGATTCACAATCTCCAAGAATCGTCTTAAAATTCCCAGAATGTTTGTCCACGATCGTACCAACTCCAGACTGAACAATACAGAATGAAACTTAATTCAATGCATATTTAACACGTTCCGTGCCACGTGTACCATCGATGGTACACGCTTGCATGTTTACTTAGTGAACTGAACAAATTGTTTACAAGAAATTTAGAACCGAAGAATCAATTTCCACCGCAAGAATGGGCGTTGATAAGTTTTTGTTACGTTGTTATGTGTACGAGAATTAATAATTGCACGTAATACATCAAGTTTGAGTAAAATATCAAAGTGTGAAGATTCGAGTAAAAAAAGCTCGGCACGGAACGTGTTAACAAATGAAATGGAACCGCGGTCCGCCGCACGCGGCCTAATTAATGCTGGATTAAAACGATTTCATGCTTATTAACCGCGCGTTTTCGAACTAGTCTAATGGATAAAGTTACAGCGAGACTCCCGTGGGCGGTGTCGACTGAAGCTGATTTCTCCCGCGGATTCCACGGGGCGTTGAGTGTCCGACATTGAGCGACCATATCAAATTCGCANTCCATGTTTTACTTTCACGGAAACCTCGCAGGCAGACGGCTACTCGTTGCAGCATCGAAAGTTCCTCTCAGCTTAGTTTCGACGCGGAACAGAAATAATTATGTAAGAGCCGTTGACTTCGGAAAATTACGTAAGCCGTTGAAAAATTCTCTCCTCTGCCCGGGTCCCATAAATAAGAACTTTCGTGTTGTGGCCGTTCGAATATTTATTACCCTCCTTCGAGCACCGGCCGGCGATAAATTAACTATCATTTATGGTTTACCGATACCCGTTCGACGAATATCAAAATGTTATTCTAAATATTGCGGTTCCGCTGACGTTTACTGTTCGTTGTCCTGCGAGCATGACCGCGTGAGATGCATGCGCATAAATTACGCTGTTCAGCGTGTTCTTTAACCTTAAAAGGTCCGTGCCTCTTACCTAAACGATTTATCCTGTCTACAGGGCCATTCGTTTCCGTAATTTTCATTTTTACACTGGAAACGATCCTTAAGGACTACTAAATCATCTTTCGAAAATATTCCGAGTCAGTGATATAGTGCAGTCGTAATATTTTACCGAACTTGAGAAGCATCTAACTGTTACAAAATATTAAAAGCATGTCATTCTTATATTTTAGAATATTATAAAAAAATTATATGATGTTGCTAACGTCTTCCAGGATTTTACTACAATTTTTAAAAATTTTGTTTCACGACTTTGTTTCACGCAAGTCCTTATGCGAACGAGTCTACGCCATTCACCCTGTTATGTGAATCCTTCAGAAACGAAATGTCGTCCTTTAGTTGCCTAGAATATTTTGATAAAATGATTTGCCGTCTCCGAGAATCGTTTTACAATTCTCAAAATTTTGTAGGTCTTCCAGGATTGTACTAGAATCTTTTAAATATTGTCTCATCGCTATACCGTGAGTCTTTATTCAGCCAATATACGTTGTTAAGAATATTCTGATAAAATGATTCACAATCTCCAAGAATCGTCTTAAAATTCCCAGAATGTTTGTCCACGATCGTACCAACTCCAGACTGAACAATACAGAATGAAACTTAATTCAATGCATATTTAACACGTTCCGTGCCACGTGTACCATCGATGGTACACGCTTGCATGTTTACTTAGTGAACTGAACAAATTGTTTACAAGAAATTTAGAACCGAAGAATCAATTTCCACCGCAAGAATGGGCGTTGATAAGTTTTTGTTACGTTGTTATGTGTACGAGAATTAATAATTGCACGTAATACATCAAGTTTGAGTAAAATATCAAAGTGTGAAGATTCGAGTAAAAAAAGCTCGGCACGGAACGTGTTAACAAATGAAATGGAACCGCGGTCCGCCGCACGCGGCCTAATTAATGCTGGATTAAAACGATTTCATGCTTATTAACCGCGCGTTTTCGAACTAGTCTAATGGATAAAGTTACAGCGAGACTCCCGTGGGCGGTGTCGACTGAAGCTGATTTCTCCCGCGGATTCCACGGGGCGTTGAGTGTCCGACATTGAGCGACCATATCAAATTCGCAACGTTGATCGTTACCAACTGGACACTATCGTTGCGGACGCTGTCATCGTGACGGCACACACAGCCAGCGATTGATCCGCGTAACCCACGTCAAAACATTGACGTTTCACTGTCACCTCGAAAAAGGAAAATCGTCTGAACAGCCGGGAAAATTGGAATGATGAATAAGAAAGCTACCGCGGCGTAAAGGCAGAAATCACGTCTATAGTGATCCCGAGTCAGGGCGAGCAGGATTAAACGGCCAGTTAAATTTAATCCGATTGTAGTCCCCGTATCGCTTAACTGCCTCTCGTGTGAACGTGACTCCTGTGACAACGAGTTCGCTGGCTGCATTTCTTACTTTAACTGTTCTGAAGATAACTGCCCCCCGCTTAAGACCTAGAAGTGAAATTGACGTAGATTAGAGATGGGAGTATTCAAATGTCCCTGGCACCTCTCGCTTGAATTTGAGGACAGAAATTAGTATGAAAAAAGACAATTAAATTTAATATTAGATTAAGAGAATCGAACCGTTTAGGATTGCTAGAGAGAGAAATTTTTGGTTTCCGCTTCTTGTGATTGATACGAAAAATATTCAATCTAAATCACTAGGTTGCGGATTTTACGCATTTACGGAAATTAAAAATGTTAAGGTATTATTTTTTATCCATGGAAATTATTCAAGAAAAAAAGAACTTTTGAGAATAAAAATCCACAGTTTATTTGTCACAATTACGATTTGATATGTGCCTCCATACTGTGTTGCTATCAAAAATTAAACATTTTTATTCGTGAATCTAATTCTATAGCTTATTCTGTGGTCAAATCTGTGTCAAAAATTTCAAACTGTATTGAACAAATCTAAAGCTCTAATATTTCGGGTACTTTATATATTTATCTTGAAACTGCAAAAATTGATGTAATAGACATTCAAATTATGTTTACAATATTTTTAGAGAAACATCAGGAATTGTCAAACTCTTCTTCATCAGTCTTTTTAAGGATGTTTCCAAAAGTGTATTTTCAGCACATGTTAATTATCTGTGGCCTAAAAATGATAAGGCAGAAGAGAATTAAGATATTGAAATAAATTTTCAAAAATCTCTATTTATTTTTCAATACTGAAGAATATAATTAAAACGACAAAAGTGTGGCATTTCTATTCAGCTTCTGTCTCTGACAAACAGCACAGAAAATTACTTAAAGATCGTCGGTCCACTGACCCTCCATTCTGAAAAAAAAATCCAGTGCGTAAGCAAGTCTGTGCGACTATAACCCAAACGCGATGAAACAGAACGCCCATAAAAAAAATCCGCGATGAAATGTGTATATGCGTGGAACAACTTCCGGCGCCGATCACCTGTTTCACAGCCTGCCGCTAGTCGGTTATAAAATTCTTGGAAGCAACGATCGTTGCCAATCGGTGTGCCCTGAAACAGGAATATCAAACCGTGGAGCATGTTGGACGCAAACACGAGAAGCTCGCGCCATTGGCATCGCGCTCGCATTCGGTTCCCATTTCGAATATCCGGCTTAGGCGAGCGGCGACCACAGCCTCTGGGATATAGTATCGAATGCGGCCGTCTCTCCCGTTCCCCATTTTTCTTCCTGCGTACCCCTTCCTCTTCCGTCTTGTTCCCTCTTTTCACTCTCGACGCTACTCTCTCCACACTTTTCCTCTCCGTCTCCCTCTCGCCGACGTCGGTCTCTCGTTTTTCTCGGCGTTTCCTTCATAAATGCCGCCGGTACACTATACTTATACACACCGAGAGCCGTGTAGTCTATTTTCTGTATCGACTTCGCTTCCGTTAGCATTCTCTTCGACCGTGGCATATGGATTACATTCGGTGTCCGCTTCCCGAGACGCCATATGTAATATCCCTTGCGAGCATGATCGCGGATGAAAGTATTGTACAACTGTGCTGGCCGCAGCCCTTTATGCTGTGAATAGACGCTCTGGAAAATGTGCTGGTTGCTTTAATCCTTTCACCGTTTATGCTTCTATTTCGAAGACGACTTCGCTGAAGTTTGCTCCGATGTCTCTTCTATCTTCGCATACTTATTTCGCATTCATTTCTACCTCAGTTTACAGAAGCATAATTGTTATTGACAGACTAGCTTCTGAGAGACTGGTCTTGATTTTTGTTCCGTCGTATTCTGATTTGGATCATGTTGGATCAGCCTGAAACGTAAACTGTTATTAATGTACCGTTGTTAACTTCTAAATTATAAGAATAATTTGGATGATTATTATTCCTACACCAGGGATCTTTATGCAGAAGGAAGATCGTCTGACTTAAAAGTTGTGTGCAATTTTTTTTATGTTTAAGTAATTTTAATTAGCTGAAATTGATACATCTCCATTCGTTAAACTTTTAACCTGAAACTTTTAACTGCCTTAAATTTCACTTATACATTTTTATCATAAACGCGTTTGCATAGAAGTAAGCAATGTAGA